TTTTTTTTAAATAATAAAGCACAGCAGGAAGACGTTGCTCAAAAGGAGAAAAGAGAGAGGGGTGCGTTTATTGATCCTGCTGCCATCAGTTTCAGTTGGCTCCTAAGGAGACTCAAGAAAGCATCTCTACGTGCAACACCCATAGTGATACCCAAACCTCAAATCTGACAGCACAGCAGAGGCAACACTGTGCGGTTACTGCAGAGTTCATTAAAGCAGGGCAGGCAGATACAGGAGACATCCAAATTCTTGCCCCGTCACGGGCACTGCGTGCGGCGGGCACTGGACTGCTGGGTGCCAACGGACAGAACGAACGCCCCAGCCAAGAGGAAAGCAACCATCAAAACCTACGCTTTTAAGGGCCCGAAAGGATCCAACCGCGAGATGCTGAGCGATAAAATAGCAGGCTTCATTGCTTCCTCTGGTCGTGATAGCACCTGTTTGGGTCTGACTCCAAGAAGTTTCCGTAAGGACTTGCTTGGCTGGGGGCCAGCCAACTTTGGCAAGCATCTAGAGATCCGAGTTCAGATCCCGTCGCCTGGATAGGGAATAACTTCAAGAACTTCAGGAGCGAGGAAACCACCGCTACAGAGCGGGAGAGCAGCTACAGATCCAAAACCTACCTCCAGGGGCCGCAGACTACAAAAAAACAACACATAAATCAAGCCTTAAATGCACTGCTATCCTCCAAGTTGACAAGGAAGGCTTCTTACAAAGTTTAGACCTGCTATTGTACTGCTGAAGGCAGAAGAGTTTTGCCCTTGACTCTGGCAGGGGATTGCAGAAGTCTGCTCGTGCCTGACAGGTGGACAAAAATAGAAGTTTGAATGCAATGGAGTAGAAAATATCAAAACGAACTGTGCCAGCGAGGCCTGAAGTCATAATTCACAATCCCTTCGATAAGCTGATTATGTCTTAGGATTTTAAGCGTATAACTCATCGAAGTTAATGACCCAGCTTCCTGAAAAGCACATTAGTAACCTACACCGCACAGGAGGTTCGCTGCAAGCACTCCACTAATCTGGCTCACAGCTTCAGGAGACCCTGAACCAGGAACGTCCGAGTCCTCAGTACCAAATCGCCACCCGCTCAGGTGCCTCCCGGCATCCGTCACGCTCCCTGCGAGGTCTCGCCGCACAGCGAACGTTTCGGCTGCGGTTAGATTTTGTCATGGGAGAACTTAGGACCCAGATCTAACTCTGATGATCCTTCCAGTCTTTTCCAGGTACTTAAATACAGGAGACTATCCAGGCTGCATCTCCACCAGGTTGGTCTAAGCTACGTCTCTTCTCCCCAGGGTCAGTGGAAGCCATCCTTGCTTGCCTCTTTTCTAGTTTGAAAGCCGTGACAAAGCCTGTCGGTCTGAGCTCCACGCTACCGGTTCCCAGCAGCCAAAATGCCTTTGGAAATTTCAAAAGTAAAATATAAACAAGGCAAAGCACACTGACCCATCCGGGCACTGAGCCAGCGCAAGAACGAACGCAGATCTGATGTCTCCGTTAGGCTCCCTCCCCTGCTTCTCCCGCTTGCCTTCGTCACTTCTCCACCAGCGCTCACCTTGACCCAGCCTGCCTCGACTGCCCGGGGCAGGCTCGCTCGCTCGGCGTGCGTGGAAGTCCTGCTGCTGGTCGCCACCACGGCGGGGCCTGGAGACCTCCAGGATCCCACGCTCCTCCTTGCCCTGCTTGGAGCCCGAACCTGCCTCCTCACATCCCACCTTTTGGGCTGCTCGTTTGACTACCGGCATCATTAGCTCGATCCGGGCGGCAGTCCCAGATCCTTCCCCTTCTTCACTCAGGGGCTCCTCCAGGAGCTTCCCAAAAGAAGAGTAACAGTAGGATGGCTCAGCTCTACAGCGGCACTGGGGGCCTCGAGGCTGGGCAGCCTTGGAGAAACCAGAGGGAGAAGCACCAGGATGAGGCCGCTGCCTGCAGCGGGAAGAGCAAAGGAGGTTCTGCCGAGGTGGGAATACTTATTTGTGGGAATACTTATTTCCCTATCTCCGCCTGCAGTAGGCGGCTTGGCTCAGCTCCCCTCTGAAACCTCTCCGTGGGAAAGCTGCTGCACGTCCTTTCAGCCAGATAACAAAGCAATAACGTTAGGAAAAAGCCTTTAAGAGGAATGCGTTTTGTTATTGTAGTTCAGATACCACAAAAATTTTCATATCAATGCTACTTAGGAGCAACAATTGCCATCTGACACACACAACCGCAGAAGAACGTAGCGGTGGTTATTACATATATACATTAAGGTTATTAAGATGACTACGGAACATATACTAAGCATAGAAATGCCCTTTACATCATTTTTTCATTTTTTTTTCATTCTTTTAAAACAGACTGTAAGTTTCCTACAAGCCTCCTCTTAGAATCCTTAAATAGCACCTCTTTCTAAAAAAAAGTGTAAAAATATGTCCTTTCCAAGAAGGAGAATTACCTGTCTTGTGTTACACTGACACAGAGAGAAATTTGTATGTATAATATTTACTGTAATTCATTTCTTAATCATAAAAAGAAAATAAATTCTTCCAAATAACCAAATTTGTAATCCCAGTAAACAGATTCAAATATTGTTTTCCGCTCTTAGAAAATGGGAGATTAAAAAACCGTGCCATTTATTCAACAAAAATTGAGCTGAAGTTGTCCCCCAAACATCCCATCAGCTTCTTGTGATGGATGTTTTTAACGTACTTGTAATTTTTCGCGAACGCTGAGCTCCTCAGACTGCCAGGACAGATACTTGCGCTGTCATCAATATTTCTGTCCATCACCTAGCACCCCACTTGCAGAGTTGGTCTTGCTATTTGCTTACAGCAACTAAGTTGCTTTCCTGCTCTTCATTCTTATCTGTGGCAAGTAACTTTACTACAGAAGTCAAAATTTTTTTTACTTCTGGGCCAATTTTTTCTAACCCCATCAGAAGTCCCCCACAAAACAGCAGCAGGTTTGCAGTACTCTTGAATGCTCTGTTGCTAACTACTGCTTATTTATTCTCAGTATCGACAAAACTGCAGTCAGGTCTGTGTATAGCGTAGGCGTAACTATTAAAATGCCAAGATCATTCTTGGTTTTTGGGGGGGTTTGTTTGTTTTTTTGTTTTTTTTTTAATGACAGTGTAAAAACAGCTAATCTTTAGAGATACATCCTAAAGGGAAGACGCTTACCTGTGTCCCGCTGCCATGCATGATGTCTTCAGGTGTATTATAAATTTCACTTTCCATTTGTACCGTCTGCTTTTTCTCGTGCGACACCTTCACCCGCAGAATGCGAAAGTAAGAACCACCAAGATCCAGCGCAATGAAATCTCCTTTCTCTATGGGGAAAACAAGACATAAACGATTAAAATCCGTACGCAACGCACACCGCATTTGGAAAACCCTAAGCATATGTTAAGTATCATGTATAATACAAACGCATATGAGTGCGTAGAGCTTATAGCAAGTAATTTCTGCCTGCAGCGCATCAGTCCGAAGCGTCAGGCGAATTCCCTACATTTTACCATGAAGTCAGTGCAACGGCAACACTGACCGTTGAGGGTGCGCGGATAACTACTATGAGGGTTTGTCCAAAGAGAGCGGGCAGACAGCGGACAGTTTGCATCCAGGTCCTATGACCAAGCTGAAAAGACGTGGAGCGCAGGAGAGCGCAACGAAGCTCCCCTGCGAGTTTCCCATGCTGCCCAGCAAAGTCGCACTTTCACCGCTGCCTGAAGAGCAAGGCAAACAGACCTGAGCGAACCGGGGATGACAACGGCGCTATCTCATCTTATCAAGGAGGGAGCAAACAAAGACAGCAGTCGCTAAAGCCAGAGGAAGAGGCGCTATCTGAGGAAGCAGGGCGCACAGCTGTTACCGCGCACGCCGGCTGCAGTTGCTCGCTGCGGGTTTGTTGAGCGCTGGCGGCCGCGTAGCGTCCTCGGGTTCAAGGCGGCTGCTCAGAGGTCCACGCAGCAAGTGCTACGGCGCTTCCTTGTCTTCATTCTGATTTCCCCCCGCCACCCCCATCGATTTGCACCTTTCCGCCTGTCCCAGAAATCCCGTGAGCTTTGGGCAGCCCAAGCTGCTTTCCTTTCGCCAGGGGAAGCAGAGGTGCTCGCCGCAGCCGGCCCCACTGCTGCTGGGTCCAACCCATCGCCTACCCCATCCCACAGCACCGCCCCGGCCTCTTGTTTCTACTCCCTCTTCCTGCCATGTTTAAACTATGGCTTTGGGAAGGCTATTCCCAACATCTCCACTGTTTTTCCTTTTCTACCGAACTGTGGTACGGAAAGACCTTTAACAGTCCAGAAGGCCATTAGCCATTGAGGTGCCAGCTCAAACTTTGGCTCAGCTCTCCAAGCCCTCTGAGCCCACGTTGCCACTGAAGGAAAAGTTGGGTCTGCAATTTACCCACTAGGATTTCCAGACCCAAACTCACTCCCGAGATTATTCTGCCTATGCACAGGCCACGACGACCTACAGCGCCTTTAACTCTCGATGGACATTTCTTTCTCACCGCCACAGACTTGGAGGAGCCTCCAGGAGCCCCGTCCCGCGCAGCAAGGCCTTATGAGCTGGTCTGATGGCAGAGGGGGAGATGCGTTTGCACCGAGACAGCAGCGCGTGCGTTCGGACCAGCCCGGAGGACGTCCGCCTGGGCCGGGGACGGAGCGGGACGCTTTGCTGCGGGGACGCAGCGAAGAGCCACCAGCGCTGCCAGGTGCCGCCCCAACCACTTGCAGCACCCAAAGGAGGAGGCAAACTCCCTGCAAAAGCCCTCACGGTTTCCAAGGGAATGCTATAGCGCAGCACAGAAAACACCATCACATGAGAAACCACAAAGAACAGCAACTTCCACGCAGAAAACACAACAAACTTCACGACCTGCAGCGTAACCCGTAACCTAACCCTCCTGGTTTTACCCTGTTATGATGTTGCTCTTTCTTCTTGCTGACTCTTGACTGAGTCTGCCAAAACACAGATCGTGCAGTGCTTCCCTGCCTGTTTCTAAACAGCGCGGCTTTAAATGTCGTTTTGTTCCAGTACGACTGTCTTGATTTTAAAACCCGAACCCAGTCCAAGCTGCGCGTGCAGCTCCCTGGATCGCGTTTTGCCTAACAAATTCAGTTCTTTGTAGCCTCCTTCACTGTGACAAGACCGGAAGAAGAACGTCCATCGTTAAGCCAAATACCTGAATAAGCTTTAGCATAATAGAGTATCAGTTGTCGAGCGTAAGCCATTACCTCCACTAAATAACAGAAAAATCAACACTGGAGCAGATGGCCCTTTTTCAAGCCTAAATGCACCCTGCTACGTACTCCAACCAAAGAGCGCACTTCCGAAAGGTCTTCCCTGGCGGCGGGGTAACACGTTAGCGCGTGTGATTTCCAGTGTGGCGAGCTTCCTCGCTAGGTAAAATTGAGCGAGGGTTATCCTTTTTGGTTAAAAAGGAAAAGCAACCCTGAACTAAAACGTAAAGTTTTCGGCATGCAAGGCAACAGTTTTCCTTCAGAGAATTTCAGGAGTTAAACCCAAGTAGCAGCATTTAATCAATGCTTTATAACAAAAAGGCGCAGGTAAAACCGCTGCAGATGATTTAAGAGGATCCTTCGAAAGCGTTTCTAGTTAGCCTGAGATACTCTCTGAGGCGCCCTGGGCAAAACCTTGCTGCTTTTTCCAATGAACTCAGAACAAAGCAAAAAAACCCTGCTAAGAACAACATCCTCGCAGCCTCCAAAAAATATCGCTCAAAGGCTCCTTGTTATTAAAGCACGGGAAGGGAGATCTGCAACTGAACAACAGTATTTTTCTCTGAATAATCAGCTTTCATAGTAACAAGCAGACTCGGAGGGGAGAGCTTACCAGGCGGAAATTGGAGACGGGCTGGAAATAAAGCCTTCAGCTTTTACGGAGGGAGGAAAGGTAGAAATCGCCTGCACCCCTCCCGGCAGATGGGAGGGCTCAGTACTTTCTTTTTTTTTTTTTTTTTTGAGCTGGAGGACCGCTCGCTCTCGCCCCGCACTGCCGATTCCCGAGCCGCAGCGCGCCCGTCCCGGCGGGCACCGAACCCAGACCTGGGCGCCCACGACACAAGGCTTGGGAGTCAGTAAAAACGCCAGGGTTTCGTGCAAAAGCCCTCCCTGGGGATCAGGCAGAAGGTCTTCTCGCCAGTGCAACAGCTCAGCGTGTTAAATTAAGGGAAATCAGCATTCAAGCTCGTTCTCCCCCTTTTTTTAAAAAAAAAAACCACACAGAATCGCGTTGCAATTAAAAAGTCCGTGTTAAGGTCGCACGAAGCAACGGCAGAGCAGAACTATCAAGGGTTTCCACCTGCTAGACAGCTCAAACTAACGTTAAGGCTTAATGTTCCTTCACCTGCTAATTCCTTGGGCTTAACTCAAGGGAGACTCCAAACACGTAAAAACAACTGCCTAACACCGTCATAGCCGGGCAACCGCGGCAAAAGGGGACTCGATCTGTTACAGGCACCAAAATACAGCTAAACCAACTCACGCTGCTTATGGAAAGAAAATCCAGCGTTACCACTAAATAAGAAACAACGATAAGGGCGAGCTCGGTCTCGGACACCGACGCAACAGCTTTGTGGTTTCTGAGATCTCTTTATGCCCCTTTACGAGCTCCAGCGATCACAGAAAACCCGGATCCTGCGGCCAGCCTGAAAACGCTTAGTACCGCCGGCTGCCAGCAGCTTTTGAGCGCTATGTTGCAGCCTGCTCGAGCGCCCCGAGTTTCCCCCGAGAGGGTCCGCAGGAGATAGCTACAAGAAGGAAACCTATTGCCAGGGACCGCAAATCCTGCCGGAGGGGGTTTGCGCCCCGGCTGCTGCTGGCCCGACCGCGAGAAAGGGCCCTGGCGCCGCTGTCAAAGCGGGCTCAGCGC